AAGCTAACAACTTGATTCCAAATTCAGCAAAAAATCACCTGGTTGTCTCTAATTGTTAATGTAAAACAGAAATAATACTAAGTATAAGCTCAATACATGAATTTATAGATTAAAATTCATATAGATTCAAAACAAAATAGCGTATAAAACACGTAAAATCAAGATTCAAGATCTCTAATCACACCAAACATACCAACTAGAGAGATAAAAAAGTGATCTTTGAACTTAAAAAAAAAATGAAACAATCAAAGCTTCTGAGCAACTCCAAAGAGACCCCACAACAGATCTGAATCTATTTTTTCTCAAAAAAAATTGAAACAAAAAAATATTGCACTACCTAAGTGAATATTGAAATCTTGAAGGAAATGATGAAGCTTAGTGTAAAATGAAGAGATATATATAAAACTCAACAGAAATTGGGTAAATGGTGGGGAGTTCTAAATAATTGCTGGTAGTTAAAAAAAATCTGAAGTTTTCTGCTTGAAAATAAATAAATAAATATGTTTATCTTTTTTGTTTCCAATTTATTTATTTTATTTTATTTAATATAAAGTTTTAAAAATATATATTTCAAAATCTAAAATATAAAATTAATTTGCATTTAAGTACTATATTGTAGTAATTAATAATATGCCACGTTGGTTACGTGTCATTAACGTAGACAAAATTAAATGTTCACGTTATCTTTCCAATTAGAACGAAACATTAGTTATGTACCTAAGCTAACAAATCACTATCTTAATTTACGTAATATTATTTAATTGAATATCTTTTAATTATTAAAAAAGAGACTTTCAAATATTTTGATCTATTCTCTCCCTGGTATTATTTATTATGATTTCCATTTATAGAGTCAAATTTTAAGAATTTTGACTAACATTTTTATCATATTGATATGCAAAAAATTGCAATTTCTAGTACTTTTTATATAGTTTTTGAATATCTAAATGTTTTGTTTAAAATATCGAATTAATATAATCTAATTTTAACTTTGAAAACTAGTCAAATTGATTTTCAAAAAGCGCAACGTGACAAATAAAAATGGACGGAAGGAGTATTAAATATTTGTATGGCTATAATGCTTTTATTAAGGCAGTTTGTTGTAAAGAATAACATCAAATACTTTTGCGATTAAATTATAGTGTCGTTTAGTCTATAGCTTATCTTGAGATTAATAATTAATACTGGAACAAGTTATTCTTCTCTTGAGGTGATATAGTAATCTCAAAATAATTTATTTATGAGGTAAATAGGTAGAATGACAAAGATATCATTTTAAACCATTTTTTGTATATCTTTTTTTTTTTAATGATAAGATAATATATATAACATAAAAAAGTTACAGAGTTAAGATTTCCAAAACATGCTAACTTATTACAAGTTGTCTTTAATAATTTTTTAGTGGATATTACACCATAACGATCATCCTCGATAAGAGATAGAATACGATATGGTGGAGTGGATAATAATATAGTTTATATGGACGGTGTTATGTTTGGTACCTAGTTTTGACAAAACATCTGCTACCTTGTTTGTTGTATATCATTTTCACATTCATGTATTTTTATATTTTTTTTAACACTACGTATAATAGCATTTGCATTCTTCATCACTCCTTATTTGTACGATAATCCTTTAATATTTTCTTATAAAAGATCACACTATTTAAATATAATTCTTATATATGAATTTATTTGATCAATTCTTATGTTTATTTTTATTTTGATTTCTCATAAATTCTCTTTTACTTTAACAACTATTTAAATATAATTCTTATATATGAATTTATTTGATCAATTCTTATGTTTATTTTGATTTTGATTTCTCATAAATTCTCTTTTACTTTAACAAACTTAAGATGAAAGTTCTATTTTTAAGCTAAATAAGAAGAAAGTTTATTTTTAAATACATATTGTACCATCGTGAGAAAATAAGATACATAAAAAAATTATTTGAGAAAATAGAAAAAATAAATAAAGTTCAAAAACACAATAACAAGTTATCATAGATTCTATTATAATTTATCTCACGACAACTTAAATTCAAACCGAACAATCCCTAAAAATACTACAATTTTAAAGTTAAGTTACTTTTAATAATTGAAATATAATATTTTTTTTCAAGAAAATAAAAATCGTGTTACATAAGTTAAGATTTAACGAAATAATATTTTAGTTATTATGCACAAAATTCTAACTCATCAATGTAGAAGATAAATAATACTCACGCGAATAAAGAAATATCACATAACTTATTCATACGTAACTTTAAGCAGTAATCACACAATCCACTAATGTTATGATGGGATTGATAAAATAATTTTACCCTTAATTAAAAATTTTAAGATCGAGCTTTAAGTATAAATTTTATCAGGCAAAAGTATAGTATCATTTTTAATAATCTTACCATAATAATCCAAATTAATATGAACTCAATTAAAAATACCAAACATTATGTGAATCAAAAGATAAAGTTTGATATTTATTATATTTTTCATCAAATAAAAAAAAAGAGTCAAATACGTCTTCGTTATTGCAATCATATTTCACTTTATATTTTTTTTATACGAATATATATGGATGGAGTTAGTAAAAATTAAGGAGTCCATTAATAAAAAAATATAGTACTGTTTATAAATAATTATTTGTGAATTGTGAGATTTTTTAATTTACGTTGAGGGTTGTAGAAGTTTGGGAAGGGACTGTTCACAGTGCCAAAGAGGGTCGTAAAACATATATATGAGGCCAAATTTGAAATTCCGTTAGTTCGTTGTTTAAATTAAAATTACTGAATTCAAATGAATTTTGATATTAATTATTTTAATTTGATTATTTCATTTTTTTAAAAAAAATTATATTTAATTGTTAGTTATATCTAACATTATATATGATATATTAAAGATTACATAGTTAAATTTTTAAAATCAATTTTATTGATTTCACTTTCTACTAGTGATATGCTTTTTTATAATCTCAATACTGATCCAATTATTGTGCATTTAACTATTGAACTTTAATTATGGAAAAATTGTATATAATAGCAAACTAATAACCTAAAATAAATGGAGTAGCTAGTATTTGATTTAATTGTGCTCCATAACAAACATTAGCTAAAGTTTGTCAGACGTCTCTCTTCCAAAATTCTCGCTCGCCTCTCTCGCTTTATACACAGAAGTGTATAAATTCTGTTTCTATTTTGTATAAAGCGAGAGAAAATTGTATATACACATGCAAAAATATATATCTTCATGTTATACACTTAATTATACAGTTTACAAACATTTTACTTCAAATATTGTAGAGAAAAAGAACAACGAATTATACAATTGCAGTGAAATACAATTTTCTCTAGCTTTATACAACAGAAGTGTATATATTGGTTTTCTGTTTTTGTATAGAGCGAGAAGAAAACATATATCTTTTTGCTATACACTTATAATTATGCAATATACATACATTTTAATTTGATTCAACTGTATGCAAATCAAATTTTATAAAAAATATTGCAACGAAATAGGCAGCGACTTATACAATTTTGCATCATACAATCGCAGTGAAATAGGATAGCGAATTATACAATTGCAGCGAAATAGGCCAGCTAATTATACAATTTAGGCCAGCGAATTATACAATTGTATATGTATAGCGAATTATACAATTTTATGTTTGCTATGGAGCGTAATTATGCAAACTTTACTATAACATACAAATATGAATTTTTTGTTTGTTATATGTGACGGTTGCCCTTTAATTATTATGATTTTATATAATTATCACATAAAAAATTGTTTGACTAAACCGATATAAAGAGATAAAAAAACAAAATTAATGTATCATCTAGAATGGACCCTCAAATTAAAAAGGAACAAATTCTCTACATATAATTTTTCCTATTAAACTAAATATATATATATATATATATATATATATATATATATATATATATATTGATAATGGCTTTTACTTGTTTATAGGGATAGCATGGAAAATTGAGTGTATTTTTGGAGTAACAGAACAATTTTTCCGTAACTAAATAGTTGGTGCTTTTCGGAGTAAGTTTATTTTTAAATATAACTTAAAGATGAAATAAATTTTATTGAGATTAATTCTTATTGATCATTCGATTTATTGTTATTTAAAATAATATGTCATGTATAAATTTTAAGAATAAATTATTTGTTTATAAAAATAGCTTCATGAATGTGAATAATGAAAAGCGTTGTATAAAGGATTTAGAAGGATATATTTGTTATGTACGCATTTTATTCCGGAATAAGTAGGGGGATGTTCGGCATTCGAGTCGGGTTTTTAAATTACAAATTTGATAATTGATAGTTAAAAGTAGATACTAAATATTAAAATTTTAAATTTTGATTCGATAATCCATAAATCAATATGACGTTCGGTAAAATCTTATTGAATTTGTAGCTGATTGTACTACAAAGTTAATAATATTATTGCTTCAATTATTTCTATTTTCTACGTGAATACACGATATAATAGAAGATCAACAAGCAAAAATAATCAAGAAAATTAAATTAACACAACTCAAAGACAAATGTATTTAGTTGTCTATGTTTTGTATTTTTCTCTTTGAACTGGTACTACTCAAATATGAACCTTTTAATATGACATTCATTAAGTAAATAATTTTTCGTATTTCAAAAATATAGAATAACCAATAATTCTAATGTCTTATACCAAACTCAAATACGTAATTTTAAAATTCTACATTCGAATACCACACCAAATAATTAAATAATTTTGTTTTGTGTTGCTACAAGAACATGAAGTGGCTGTAGTTTAGTGGTAAGAATTCCACGTTGTGGCCGTGGAGACCTGGGCTCGAATCCCAGCAGCCACACTTAATTTTTTTTTCTTTTTACTTTTTTAGTTTCAGTTTCGTATTTTTGGTTCACTTAATAAAAGCCCAAATCTCATTTTTATTTGATTAATACTACTTTTTTCCCCTCACAGCAGGCTACTAATTTTTTTTCAACAAATTCGATCTCAATCAATCGAAGGTACAGATCTCGATCTATTGAATTTATACAGTTTCGTATTTTTAATTTAGTTTTAATGTTTTTGCTACTGTATGATTCTGTGTTTGTTATATGTATAGATCTGGATTTACATGATTTCAGATTTTTGGAAGAGTTTGATTTTGTTATCTGTTGTTCTGTGTGTCGTTTTTGTCATTGATTTTGATTTTGATTTTGGTTTGTTTTCTTCGTACATGAATGAAGTTTTGATGGGTGAAGTGGTACCCATTTCTGATGAGTATTTTTGTCCCTTTCGATAGTAGTAGAAATTTTTGTAAAGGATAGTTATGAGGAAATGGAGAAGATGGTAACAAAGTGATCACATAGCGGAGTGGATATCGCGTTAGACTCCGAATCTAAAGGTCGTGGGTTCGAATCCCACTGTGATCACTGCCTACTTTTTTGATCAAAATTTTTGTTTGAAAACATTGTTTGTTCATGATTTTCAGTGAAATTTCATTTCAACTCACAAAGCTTCAACTTATTTCTAAGAGAAAAATGCATGTCCAAATACAAATTCAAGTTCCAAAAACTATTTTTCTTACAAACTACGAAAACTCATTCGTTTTCGAGTTTTAAGTAAATTTATGGCTAAACGCTAGGTTAGTTAGATTCTTTCAGAAACGTTGGTTTTGTTATCTGTTCTTTTGTCTTTCTCAATGTTAGTGGACAGAGTAGTACTGAAATGAGTGTTTTTTGTCCCTTTTGATGGTAGTGGAAATTTTGGTAAAGGATAGTTATGAGGAAATGGAGAAGATGGTAACTAAGTGATTACATAGCGGAGTGGATATAGCGTTAGACTCCGAATCTAAAGGCCGTGGGTTCGAATCCCACTGTGATCACTGCCTACTTTTTTTTCTTTTATAATTTGTGTTTGGTTTTGGAGATCGGTGTGAGTTTATATATACTTGGTTCCTGTTTAGGGAGTAGATTTTCAAATTTTTGTTTGAATGCGTTGTTTGTTCATGATTTTTGGTGAAGTTTCATTTCGATTCACAAAACTTCAACTTTTTTCTTAGTAGAAAGTGCATGTCCAACTACAACTTCAAGTTTCAAAAACAATTTTTGCAATAAACTTTGAAAATTCATTCTTTTTTTAAGTTTTAAGTAAATATATGGTTAAACGCTAGGTTAGTTAGATTCTTTCGGAATTGTTGAACCGTTGCTTTTGTTATTGTCTTTCTCAATGTTAGAGGAGAGAGTAGTACTGACATGTATAAGGGAACAGAGAAGATGGTAACAAGTGATCTCACAGCGGAGTGGATATTGTGTTAGACTTATGATCTAAAGTTTGTGGGTTTGAATACCACTGGGATTGCTTCATGCCTTCTTGTGCACCTGTTTTGTTTTTCTTGGTTTCATATTTTGGTGTTTGGTTTGGGAATTGCATCCGAGGGTCTATTTGAAACAACCTCTCTACCTCCCAAGATAAGGGTAAGGTTTGTACACTCTACCCTCCTAGACCTCACTTGTAGGATTACATGGGGTATGTTGTCGCTGGTTTGGGAATTGATTAGTGAAATAAAAATCATTGTAATATAAAATTCGAAAGAGGCTGTACTTGTTTCTTTGGAGATATAAGCTTGAGGCAATTGGTTTGAGAGATTTTTATGAGCTGCCTCCACTGCATATGCATTTAGTTATGAACTTGGTGCTCCTGCTAAGTAATTTTTTGGTTTTGATTGGGGACATGATATAGGTAAATTATGCCACCAAGATATTTCTATTGAAAATGTATGTTGGTTTTCACTTGATTAATGGTTTTATTCCTCTAATCATTGCCTCGGCGTGAGAGATGCTTATGGAGTGAAATAAGAGGCTAAGTTTTCCTTTTTCTGTTCTATTGGTTTAGGTGTTTGTTTGTGTCACATGTTGCAATAATCTTCCTTTACTTTATCTACAAAGGAAGTACATGAAAATCTCAAGGGTGTTACTTGAGTATTTGAAGGAATAGGAGCAACTTTACCTTAACATTTTCATAAGTATGTCTACCATGATGATAGGTTTGTGAATTTGATTAAATCATTCCCTAAACAAGTGTTAGGCTGTTACAGTAGGATTGATGTCTGATTATGGAATATGCATAAGGTACATTGAGACAGAGAGTTTTAAAGGTATTGTGAAACATGTGTATAGAGCAGTGTGAAGCTTCAGAGTTTTGAGCTGAACACAATGTTGTGCATGGTATAGCTACCTAACTTGTCCAATGAGTCTTTTCTCTAGTGGTAAAGAGGAGGACGATACCTTGAGGTTGTGTTTCTTAATTGTAAATGAAAACAATGTATTCGTTAACTCTAAAACTGTAATTGATCGTTGACGTAATTGTTCAGTTATTGCTTTTCAGTAACTTGGCTCAGCAACTTGTAGTCTCATCAGAACATTGATTATACAAGGAGGGAGTGGATGTACTGTCGATGACCTACTAAAGTAATCCAATTTTTTGAATGTAGGGCGATAAGAAAATCAATTGAACTCATTTTCAAACAAATAAGATACACGAAAAGACTATCTAACATAGGAAATCAAGATTATTCCATCAGAGCTTGTCCTTATTAGAGAAACAAAAAGATAATCTACTTTTGCATAGACGGGTTGAAATTCTTAGTTCCAACTCCAAAAAGAATCGAATGTTGCTTGTCTCATGATGATATTTTATTCATTTTTACCTGGTAACTTGATAATGGGACTGATGAAACACTAGAGATCATTGCAGGAACTGAACGTTTGTGTTTTAGTTCAATAGCTTTCGTGAATTGTAAAGGAATTCTGTCTTTGCACCTTATTTCTCTGAAATCGTAAAGCTGTTCTTGCAGACTAACTGTTGTGTTACTAAACCAATTACTAACTAATACTCTTCTTTTGGTCCTAACTGTTGGCTCTTGAACTTTGTCTTGCAGATAATGGATGATCAAGATTTAGGATTCTTTGCTAACTTTCTTGGCATCTTTATTTTCGTATTTGTTATTGCTTATCATTATGTAGTGGCTGATCCCAAGTACTTGGGCAACTAACTGATATAGATGATCCCATAGTAAGTAGTAACTTTTAATGAGCTCAAGATGAATTTCATTTTTATCTTTTATTATCACCAGTTAGTTCTTACCTGAATATTATGAGATCGGACATTTGGTCTGAGAAAGTCAGAAGTTTTATTTGTTCTCTCTCTCATTTTGTGAACGTGATGGGTCTTGATCGATTGCAAGTTGCAAGTATTCTTAAGAAAATGTGCTGAATAGTCGGGTTAGACCTATCAGAAAAACAACCTCTCTATTTTTTTACGTAGAGGTAAAGCTGCAGACACTTCATCCTTTCCGAACCCACTTGCAGAGTATTACTGGGTATGTTTGTTGTTGGGTCTGCACCTAGAGGTTCAGTGATAAGCTCTCTTTGGCTTAGCTACTTTGTTTGGTAAACAACACAAATGATTATAAGCTTTAACCAGTCTTCTTTAAATTGCTAAATGCTAATATCTTTTGTAATCTCTAAAATATTCTTTTCTGAAATACACAAATGTTTCTCAGAAATAATGTTGGTTGAAAATAAAAGTGAAATTTCAACGCTTACAAAATTTCTATGGATAATTGGTCGTCTTTGACGACTTAAATTCTCATTCTTCATGACTTGCTAAAACAGCTAGTCAAATATTGAATTATTGTCAATCTTCCAGAACTCATACGGTCATCCATGAACCAAAAATGATTTAAAAGTATATATATATACACACATTATTATTCCAGATATTCCTAACTTTTAAAATAATCATGGTGATGTCCAATGCATTACTTTTTTTTAATAAAAGGTCTCGATATTGATATTTAGACATAGAAAAAATCTTGAGGAAAGGATCAAAATAATCCTTTTTTATATAAGATTAAGGCTCAAATTGATCCTGAAATTTTCATATGAAGCACTAACAGTTCCTCGGATTTGCAATGTTGGTGTACTTTTGATCCTCTTTCAAAATTTTACCTATTTATTAGCATTTATTTTATCCATAAAACCTATGTATGGAATGTTTAATCATCATTGTATACATTTAGTAGAAATAAAAACTCAATATGAAAGAATGTGAGAAGAATATTTTTTGTTTTGTTTAGTAGAAATCGTATTGTAGGTAAAGTCGAGAGGTTTATCACAATAATTTCACCTGGAATTGTACAATTTTTTCTTTGCAATAATATCTAATGAACAGAACGAGGTGTTTTTTTATCACCTTCTCTCAGATAGATTTAATATTTCCATTATATATATTAAGACGATTGGACATTCTTTGTATAAAATTTTGAACAAAATTAATGTTAAAAATAGGCAAAATTTTAGGAGAGAATCAAAAGTGTATTGATAATAAAAACACGAGAGACTATTAGTTCTCTACGTAAAAACTCAAAAATTACTTTAAGCCTTAATCCAAAAGTAATGGACTATTTTGAGCCTTTCCTCGAAAAAATCTTTAATGAAGTGCGCTACCCCAAATGGAAGCTATTACAAATTCCAATCAATTGAGCTCTCTCATGTAGTATCAAACATCAAATGCCAATAAATAAATAAAATTATAGCCACATCACTCAACTTTTTGTTTACGCATCTTTGGTCAAATTTTAGGAATTATCAACTATATAATTGACTAGAAGAAAAAAATAAATTAAAAATATTAATATATTTTTTAATTTTTAATTTTAATTTTGCACATTAAATCGAGAACCATTGATAATAAAACTTACAACCCGGAAACCCGACAAGAGTGAAGAAAAGCCCAGGAACATGAATCCGGCGAATCCAAAGGCTATTGAGATATCCGATTGAACGCAGAATGCATTGTTAACCGTACACGTGTCCATCTCCTTCAAAGTCCGAACCAGTGACGTTGCTGCCGATCCCGCCGACAGCAACAGGTAAGCAAAAACCTACCGCCAATGAAGAGAGCTAATTATCGAAAACTCGTTCAATTTTTTCGAATTTCATACTTAAACTATAAGTTAGGGAGAGTTTCTTGACCAAACTATTGTTAACAATTCATCAAATTGTTCTCTTTTGCTACCTTACATGTCGTTATAGTTCGATTATGAAACTCAAAAGATTGAAATTCCACTCAAAATAGACAAAATTGACTTCGTGTTTCACAAATTTCTGCAAAAAACGGTGAACGACCTCCATTGAAGTGAAGGATTTACGAACCTGATCGTGGCCGAAATCGAACCAAACTTGAACGACTTCAGGGAAAACAGTAGCGCCTCTTGAAATCTCCCATACGGATGCTCCTACTTCGAAGAGTGAATATAAGGCAACAATTGCACCGGCAACAGCCACAAACCTATACAGTAAAAGGAATCAGCGAATTTGAACGCCGGAGAACTAAATCTTCATCGAATCTCGACTCCTGATACTCAAAATCATCGTGATTATCAGTATAAAACCGGAAAAATCAGTTAATTTGAACTCCGTAGTACTATAAACAACTCCAATGAGCAAATAATCCATCAAACTTCAACTCCGGGGTATTTAAATTGTTGCGTTTATCAGTAAAAGCAAAAGGAATCAACCAATTTGAACTCCAGAGTACTACAACAATGTCGTTTTATCAGTATTCCAATTTGTTTGTTTGTTTGTTTTTTTGCTAAAATGAGCTAAAAGTCCATCAAACTTCTACTCCGGAGTATTCAATTTCCAGTCAAATCGCGTGAAAGAGTTTGCTGCTGAAAGGAGGAATTCCATTAGAACAAAAAAAAACTACTACTATAATTACCTGAAGGCATCGAAGTGATGCCACTGAGGCAAATCGGAGCCGCGGCGAGAATTAGTGAACATGAAGATAGCTGAAGCAAGAGAGAAGCAGAAGGAAGCAAACCGGAAGACGACAATCAAAATGTTGAACCGCCGGAGCTTGTGTAGGGATACGCTGGAGTGGAAGTGCGACGGCGACGGAGTCTCGACGACGCCGTTTCGAACTTGAGGTGATCTCATCATCTCGAGTCTCAACGGTGCATTGATAGGGTAACGACGGCGTTTCGAAGCTTTTTACTGTTTTACTTCAATGGAGTAGGGTTTTGAAATTTACAGGACAATTACATGGCATAATTCCCTTGAAAGGATAGAGAGAGAAAAAGAAGGAATCTGTCTTTGTAAAGATAAAAGAGAGGAAAAGGTGAGGAAGATGACAAAAGGAATAACAGAGAAAAGTAGTTCCAACACTTATAAGAGTTGCGCTCAAATTATGACAGAATGATTGAGATTTTTAGCCCTCGATTGAAATGATTTCATAATCGAGTAAACTTTTATAATGTAGAGTTAAGATTGTTTAAAATTGAACTAAAACGGTAATTTGTATTGAAAAAATTATTGATTTAATAGTGATTTTAATTTTCTTTTTATTATAAGTAATAGATTTTGAAATAGTTTAAGATTTTTCTTAACGAATTAATCGATAACTTGATCGTAAATTAATTAATTATATTTATGTTGTTTGATATATGAAGTCCTTGACATAAGACTTAGTTTCATACTTCTATTCCTGGTTGTTTCAAACTATTAATTATTCTACAATGTACTAATGTTTGTTCTGAAGCAAGATGTAGTATGCCAACTCATGTACACGATTCATTTGGTTTGTCACCTATTTCTAAGTGACTTTCAATTTTTTTTTTGTTCGTGTTAGATCTTTATGACTAAATCAAAGCGAACCGATAACAATCTTGACACACGATACTTGATAAGACAATATCTTGGAGATACTATAATAGTTTAACACGTCTACAAATCGAATCGATAACCGATAAGTCAAATCAATAAACTCCAAATCAAATCGAACCAATCAATACACAACCATATCTTGAGTAATATAAAAATTTTAACCTTAAAATTTTCTTGTATTTTCTTCAATTAAATGTTAACAATCCTGTATTAAAAAGGATCGAAAATCATAAGTGAATTATCGAGTACTGCACAATGTTATTAATGAAAATCTAAAATCATTAATATATAGCTATCTGCAAAAATAAACTTCGCAATGTATGAGTTCAAAATTAGTCAAACCTTGATTTCAGAAAAAGAAAACTACTAAATATTTGTTTGGCAAGGGTATAGAGAGAAAATGTGGACCCTATTCAATATTTAGAATTTTTAATTTTGGGATAAATAATTAGTAATACTTTATATTGCTTCCATTTAAATGGTGTCTTAATTGATAGGTCATGAAAATGTAGAAGTAAGAAATATTTTTGAATTTTATGTTTTTTTTTAACACAATAGATCATCAATATGTAATATTAGAGTACAAAATACAGTACATCTTTCTTTGTTCCTTCCTTTTTATAGACACACTTTACTTTGAAAAAGATTCAATGTTCAAAGTACACACTGCTTGTTGCTTTCTACCTGTGCTACATCATTTGTCTTTTTGATTGAATAAGCTTGGAAGAGAACTTTAACATGTATTCTAAGTATAATTTTTTATCGTCAAAGATAGCATATGTACAAATCTTACCTCTATCTTTCAGAGATCTAAACACGTACGTGGAAGTATAAAAAGAGTAGAATGTAAGATCCCGACAACTCAATGGAAGAGAATCAACTAATGATATACGCAACCTTACCTCTACCTTTGTGATATCTAAATAAATTTTTTATCATTTTAACTAGACAAATGCAACTCCCTCCCCCCACCCCCCTCCAAACCACCACACACACACACACACACAAGAAACGAATGAAAAAAAAACACCATACATACAATGGGAAAATATGACTTGACTCCCACACACAAAAAAAGAAAAAAAGCACTCTACGTTACAATGGGAAAATATGACTTGATATATTACAACCAAATATCAACCCATCCACTTTTTTTCATTAATGTGCCTTCTTTCACTTCTGGGGTGGAAGAGACATAAAGCTTGATATAACATAAAAAAAAAAGAGAAGGCCAAAGATCACAAAGTTCAGCAACCTATAAAGTTTTTCCAAGAAATATAACTGGCAATGAACCTTCAAAGTAAGACTAGAAAGGCACAATACACAATGTCTAACGGTTGACAAATTCTACACTTTGTAGCAATGAACATCCAGCCAAAAGAACGATGATAAGCCATTTTATCAGCTTTATCATAAAATGCATTGGTACATTTCTGTGTTCACTACATTTCTTGTGACCGTCTTACACAACGACTGACC